ATGCTCTTGCCTCCTTTGTCAAATATTAATTGAGCATAATGGCTTGGGTCTATTTCTGGGTTCTCTGTTCTGTTCCATTGGTCCATATGTCTGTTCTTGTGCCAGTACCAGGCAGTTTTGAGAACTATGGCTTTGTAACATAGCTTGATATCTGGTATTGTGATCCCTCCAACTTTGTTCTTCTTTCTCAGGATTGCTGTGGCTATTCAGGGTCTTTTTTTTTAATTCCAGATGAATTTTTGGAGAGTTAGTTCTAGGTCTGTGAAATATGCCATTGGTATTTTAATGGGAATTGCATTAAATCTATAAATTGCTTTGGGTAGTATAGACATTTTAATGATGTTGATTATACCAATCCATGAACACGGTATGTTCTCCCATTTGTTTATGTCTTCCTCTATCTCTTTTTTCAATGTCCTGTACTTTTCTGAGTACAGGTCTTTTACCTCCTTAGTTAAGTTTATTTCTAAGTATCTTAATTTTTTTTTTTTTTTTTTTTTTGGTGCAATGGTAAATGGGATTGTTTTAACACTGAAGTTTTTAAGAGAAAAATAAAGTTCACCAAGTAAAGTGGTACCTAAAAAAACCCCAAGGCTCTACTTGAATTAACCCTTAATAATGACTCTTTATACCTTCTTCTGTATGGGCCTGGTTTCACCATGGCCATCATAGGGATAGACTAGGGAAGCCTTCAAGAGCATGTACCAATTATTAAGATGATAATAAAGAAGATGATGGTCTGGCCAGCGTGGCTCAGTGATTGAGTATCAGCTTATGAACCAACAGGTCATGGTTTAATTCCTGGTCAGGGCACATGCCCGGGTTGGGGCCTCAATCCCCAGTGTGAGGCATGCAGAAAGCCGCCAAGCGATGATTCTCTCATCATTGATGTTTATAGGGTGTCCCAAAATTCACGCAAGAAGTAATTTTGATAGAAAACACAGGTTTATAATTAAAAATTGTAAATGTTTTATTGATTCATAAAGTGTATAGTATAGGGTTATGTATGGAATAGCACATCGGGTAAATGGCCTCCACGGCTTTGCTGGCACATATGCAAAGCCATGGTCTTCATTGGTCTTCATTGTCCCTGCTCCTGGGCCATAATTGGTACCTGGTAATGCTTATCAAATTGAAGGGGTTGAAATCAAAGGGCAACAGATATTAGAATCTGATTCAATAAACCAAGTAAAATTAGGCTTTTATTTTTTGTTGTTGTTGTTGATGCTCACATAAAATTCAAATCTTGCGTGAATTTTGGGACATCCTATATCTCTTCCTCCCAATCCGTTCCTCTCTGAAATCAATTTTTTAAATTACTTAATTAATAAAAAAGAGATTAGGAGGATTATTCTCATCCTCATTGTCATTATTAACCTCAGATATAACTCACATGTATTTGCCTTGATGGTTAGTGAAGCATTTTCACTCATATTGTATGATTTGCTGATCACTAATTAGGGCAATTTTATAGCTATTATTTCCATTCTATGAATGAAGAAACTGAGACTCAGAAGGTTTTGTGATTTTATAAGGTTACCCAGCTCATACATGTAAGGACTAGCACCTACATCTTCAGCCTCCCCCTCTTTCCACTACATGCCAAGGTTTTACAGCTGCCTCTCTTACATCACGGTTGGAACATTTGAAGGTGGCAGAGTCTTTACCTTACGCCTGTCCAAACCCTAGGCCATTTCTCAGCAAGCCCAGAATTCTCACCACAGCAGCAGCACAAATAGCAGCAGGACTTCCCCCAGCTCCTTCTATCTGCCACCCAGCCTGCACCACTTCCTGATGACTTGCCATTGGAAGATAAGATGCACCAACTACAAAAGCAGCACCCCACATCCACCATGTTGTGGCTGCCCCACTGCTCTAACATTAAGAACTCTACCTTAGCAAACTGCCTACACACTTCCTGGAGTCTGATGAAAGAACCCACCAAAATGATGAGGCAACGGCACCCACCCTTTATCCATCTTCTCATATCTGACCTGGCAATTAGGTACTAGGGGCCTTATGTAAAAAAAAAAAAAAAGCCTTAGGATCTGGCACCAGGACCAGTTGTATAATTTGTAGAACCCAGTACAGCATGAAATATGGGGCTCCTTGTTCAAATACTATGAAGAATTTCAAGGTGACACAGCATCATTAAACCAAATTCAGGGTCTCTCTGAGCTCCAGGCTCTGTGTGACTGCACAAGTCACATAAACTATATCTGGGACATCCAGAGACTCAGGCTGGGACCCTCCACATGTCCCTCTACCTGATGTCATTAGCCCAATGGGACAGTTTACCTGGAGAGAATTCATGTTCAAGAGAATGAATGTTGGTAAACTACGGCTCCTGCCACTGAAAGCACCTCAGTTTCTGCTTGGTCCCCAATGGTGTGTTCCTTGTGCTCTTACCACACATCACATTGAATGCAGTACTTGTATACACGTCTGTCTTTACCAGGACTGCAGCCATTTCCTATTCACCCGTGAGTCCCTAACACAGCATCTGGCACATAGATAGAACTTAATGTTTGTAAATGAGGGTCCTTAGTCTCTCACACCCCCCAGGGCCCTGTTGCATATCCTCCCCTAACTAAGTCATCAGGCCTTGCCTGCGATGGTCTTCCTCAGAGGAAATGTTGGTTGGTCTGAAAGAAAAGAGGTTTATATTTGCAGCCCCTGGATTCATTCAGGAACTGCTTACTGGCTGAGGACAAAGGCGGCCTTAGTGAGACAGGTTAAAAATCCCTTTGCTTTTTAAAATTTTTTAAATTGATTTCAGAGAGGACGGGAGGAGAGAGATAGAAACATCAATAATGAGAGAGAATCATTGATCGGCTGCCTCTTGAAGGCCCTCTACTGGGGATCGAGCTTGCAACCAGGCATGTGCCCTGACCAGGAATCGAACCATGACCTCCTGGTTCATAAGTAGATGCTCAAGCACTGAGCCACATTGGCCGGGCCCTTTGCTTTTATAACACTTCAAAATGACCTGCATTCTCAATGACCCTTCTTCTTGCTCTCTTTGTGCCAAGCCTTGAATAAATTATAGGGTCAGCCTGAACCCACTTATGTGGAAAACTTATGTCCTGCTCTTTGAGGCTTAAATGCAGCCAATATTCATCGAAGGAGCACTGTTATTGTTTATGGCTGACACTCTTACTTGATGGGTCAGTGCCTGTGTCTCTTAGTTTTTTAAACATTTGTAATATAATCCGTGGTGGCTCAAAACACTCTTTCTTACTAAATAGAGCTCAGTGAGAATAAGAAAGTAATGAGAGAAGAGGAAAAAGATGAGAAAAATAACATCTTATAATTATACTAGAGGCCAGATGCACAAAATTTGTGTATGGGTAGGGTCCTTAGGCCTGGTCAGCAATCAGGGCCCATCTGTGGGGTGATTGGTGGAGCGATGGGGGGCCCCACTGGCACCTGCCTTGGGTGGCCTGGGGTCTGCGGGCCGGGGGCAGCTCCTGCATTGAGTGACAACCCCTGGTGGTCAGTGTGTGTCATAGAGACCGGTCGTTCCACTGGTCATTCCACTGTTCGGTCAATTTGCATATTAGGCTTTTATTATATAGGATTGCCTTTCATTTCACAAATTATGTATTAAATCACTTTATTTTATCAGGTGATGGAGGGAAAGAAAAATAAACCTTTAATTCTTTTTCTTCTCGTGCTAGATTTTAAAAATACTCATTCTTGCTCTGACCGGTTTGGCTCAGTGGATAGAGTGTCAGCCTATAGGCCGAAGGGTTCCGAGTTCAAATCCAATCAAGGGCACATACTTCAGTTGCATGCTCCTCCCTGGTCCAGGCCCTGGTCAGGAATCATACAGGAGGCAACCAACCGATGTGTTTCTCTCACATTGATATTTCTCTCTGTCTTTCCCTCTCTCTTCCACTCTCTCTAAAAATCCAATGGAAAAATATCCTCAGGTGAGGAATAAATAAATAAATACACTCATCCTTCAGCTTTTACTAGAAAGTGTTCCTGGATTCCCAAAACAGATCAAGTCCCTCTTGCTATTCTCTCTCAACCACCATAATACTTACTTGCTTTGTATTTAACCGTTTGTGGTTACCTCGTCCACATTGGTCTCTTTATTTAACTGTTACATTCTGGAGAGCAGGAAGTATATCTATTTTTGTTCACCATTGTATCCCCAGCTCCTTATTACATTAGTTCTGTAATCTTCCATCAGTAGTTTGTCTTCTGGCCTAGGTGTGTTTTTCCTAATGCTTAAAAGAGTAGTTTGCTCAACAAACATTCGTATTATAGATTACATTAATAAATACCTACCACAGTATCTGAAACAAAGCTGACCTTGAATAAATATATGCATTCATTCATAAATGTGTGAATGAATAGATGAACTTTACTTCAGAAGTTGTTCCAAGACATTCTAGGCAACACACAAGTGAAATCCATTTATCACTATGTCCCAGAAGTATTTACTAACCACCCACTGTGTGTCAGGTACTCTTCCGGGGACTGGAGATACACTAGCTAACAAAAAAGATCCCCCAAATCGTCAACTTAGGGAGTATTTACTCCAGAGCACTGTACCTGCCAGGAATAGAAGCATAAATGTAACCTTTTTGCAAAGACCACAGGAGCCATCCCAGCCCCTCCCCCAACTCTTCCACTTCTTGGACATCTGATATTGGGAAAGAAAGACATTCAATATCTCAGACCTCATGGGGGCTTATGTTCCTTCTAGCTCTCAGAGTCTGTAAGTCTAGATAAACATGTTTTTAATTAAATGGATCCCTGGAAATTCACTGGGAAACTTCATTTTTGAATGATAATCCTTAAAAAAATGTATCCATCATAACATATTAAATATGTCTAGGGTAGAATGCCAAAACAAAAAGGCATCCTCAAGAAACTGGGTGATCTGCATCCATGGGAGCGCCTAAGGGAGACTCCAGCCTGGGGAGACAGGGAGCTCTGAACAGTGCAACAGCCAAATGGCTACAATTTTCTATTTATGTCCTCAGGTCTGGAAGCAGCTGAAAGCAACACAAACATGCTCACCGTGAATGGGATTCTGGGGGAAACAGTTACTTTCCCTTTAAATATCCAAAACATACAGCAAATTACCAGCATTAACTGGGTGAGTTCCAAAACGTCCGTTGCTGTTGTAGTGGCCCTCCCCAGCGCACCCCCCCAAGTCATTGTGACCCACCAAAACTATAAGCAACGAGTAAACGTCTCAAGTCAGAACTACAACTTGGAGATCAGCAATCTGAGGATGGAAGATGCAGCGATCTACAAAGCTGACATAAACACAAAGAACTCTGAAAAGGAGACACTCACCAGGACCTACAAACTTCAAGTTTATCGTAAGTCGTGGGAAGATAAAGGGCTTGTTTTTTTATTTTTACTTTGCAAATTTGCTATTGCAGAACAACTGTATTTCTGACTACTGGGTTCCCTAAATCATTTTATGTTTATAAATAAGCATCACTATATTAATACTTTTCAAGAGGGTGTGGCTTTGCTTGTTTTTAGCAATGTAACCTTCTATCAGCATTTGTCCCGTGGCCTTGTTTTTCTTTTCTATAAAATGTGAATAATCATACTACTCACTTCCCATGGTTATTGTGAGGACCACGTGAGACAGTGCGTGCAAAGTACTTTAGAAAACTTTTTATTTTGAAATAATTACAGGTACATAGAAAGGTGTAAAGACATGTACAAGGAGGATCTGTGTCCACTATACTCAGTCTCTCCCAATGGTAACATCTTATATAACTACTAGAGGCCCAGTGCAAGAAATTTGTGCACCAGTAGGGTCCCTAGCAGCTGCCAGCTGCTGGCCAGGGACTTCCTTCGTTCTGCGCTGCCCCCTGGTGGTCATCGCTCATCATAGCTAGCGAAGGGACTCCCTGTCAGTCAACTCCAGAGGGAACACTTTGCCAATTAGGCTTTTATATATAGAGATACTTTAATATCAAAACCAGGAAATTGGCATCTGTGCAAGAAATAGAGCTTACTTTATATTTCACCATTTACACAGGCACTGATTTATGTGTGAGTATACGTGTCGCTCTGTGCAATTTATTTACATAGTAGAGACCCAGTGCATGGATTAGTGCACCAGTGGGGTCCCTCAGCCTGGCCTGCACCCTTTCGCAATCTGGGACCCCGCAGGGGATGTCGGACTGCTGGTTTCGGCCTGATCCCCATAGGCCAGGCCAAGGGACTCCACGGGTGCACAAATCCATGCACCGGGCCTCTAGTATGCATATAAGATCTGTGGGGTATCTCATCTTGCCCTCCCCCCTCCCCCATCTCTCTGAGATTCATCAATCTGTTCCATGTTTTCATGCCAATGTGTTTTCATGCCAATGTGTGTGTTAGCTACCGCTCAAACGGTCGAAAGGTCACTTAGGCTTTTATATATACTAGAGGCCTGGTGCATGAATTTGTGAATGGGTGGGGTCCCTCAGGGTTGCCTGCGGGGATCGGGCTGAAACCCGCAGTCCAATGCCACCTGCAGCTCCTGCCTACCACTCCTGTTCATCCTGGCCCCGCTGCACCTGATGTGGGTTGTGCCCAGTCAATCCCTATCGGGAGAGGCTCTTGCTGCCACAGTGGCGCTCGCCAGCTGTGAGCCCTGCATCTGGTGTCTGTCCCGAGGTCAGGGGGGGGGGGGGGGTCAGAATGCAATCAGCCCTCCAGGCGGGCAGTAGGATGCCCTTGCCGGCCTGGGATCCAGATCTATCCCACTGATGTTCGCACCAGTTGTCAGAAGCCACCTGGCAGCCACTTTCATATCATTTCTTCCTTGCGGAGCATCTAGGGAGGGGAAGCGGCACTGTTGTGATTGTGGCGGTGGCACCAGTCCATCGGTGCCTGGCCCATCCTCCAGAGATTGGACCTGCAGGACTACTGAGGGAGGGAGTGGCTGCTGCCAGGCTGTGAGCCACTGGGACAGGTCGGTCAGCTGAGCAGCGCTCCCTCTGTGGGAGCGCACTGACCACCCTGGGGCAGCTCCTGCATTGAGTGTCTACCCCCTGGTGGTCAGTGCGCATCGTAGTGATCTGTCATTCAGTTGTTTGGTTGTTTGGTCGCTTAAGGCTTTTATATATACAGATAAGATGTAGCTTCATGTAACTACTACCACAATCAAGATACTTAACTGTGCCATCACCAGAAGTTCCTCATCCTTTTATAGTCACTCATTACTGCCCCTTTCCCCTCCCAAGCTCCTGGAAGACATTAATCCATTGTTCATATCTGTAATTATGTTAGTTCACAAATGTTTACGTAGATGGAATCACACAGTATGCATGCTTTTGAGGAGTCATCCTAACTATTGTAAGTATCAATAGTTTATATCTTTCATTATAGGAGAACCATTCATAGCATAGATGTACTAGGTTATTTAACCATTCACATATTAAGAAATATTTTAGTTGGAATTAGACCTCTTGCCAGCTGTGTGACCTTGAGCAAGTTGTTTTGTTTAATCCAAAATGGCCAAAATGAAAAATAGTGATAACCCTAAATGCTGGTGAGGATGTGGAGAAACTGGATCACTCATTCATTGCTGGTGGGAATTTAAATAGATTGGCTATTTTTTTTTTTAATGAAAAATTATTCTTAGAAGTTCTGAGATCTGGAGAGAGCTAAAAAGCCATGAAAAGGCATGGAGGTAACTTAAACCATGGAGACAGTAAAGGATTGGTGCTTGCCAGGGTTTGGGGAAGGGAGGGATAAGTAAGCAGAGGACAGAGGGCTTTTAGGGCAGTGAAACTCTACTGTATGGATCTATAATGCTGCATACATGTCACTATATATTTGTCAAAACTCATAGAATATACAACACCGAGAGTGTATATCACCTGTGAACTTTGGGTGATCATGATAGTGCGTCAATGTACATTATCTATTGTGTGGACCACTCTGGTGGGGATGTTGATGATGGAGGAGGCTGTGAGTGAATGGGGCAGGGTACATATGGTAACTCCCTGTACTTTCTACTCAGTTTATTTAAGAACCTTAAATTGCTCTAAAAGATAGAACCTATTTTAAAGGGGGAGGGGAGAAGTTCTCAGATAAATAGCGGTGATGTTTGCACAACAATGTGAATGTACTTAACTGTACAATTAAAAATGGTTAAGCCGAAGCTGGTTTGGCTCAGTGGATAGAGCGTCGGCCTGCGGACTGAAGGGTCCCAGATTCGATTCCGGTCAAGGGCATGTACCTTGGTTGTGGGCACATCCCCAGTAGGAGATGTGCAGGAGGCAGCTGATCAATGTTTCTAATTCTCTATCTCTCTCCCTTCCTCTCTGTAAAAAATCAATAAAATATATTTTTAAAAATGGTTAGAATACTAAATGTTATGCCATGTATATTTTATCACAATACATTTTTTAAATTAAAAAAATGGTTTTACATATGATTTCATTCTTGGGCATTTATCTCAGAGAAACAAAATCTTATTTCAGGCAGAAACTTGTATACAAATATTCATAGCAGCTTATTGCAATAACTTTAAGATGTTTGTTTTCATCCCTTTATACATTTAGTTGCAACTTCTTTGCTGAATTGGATAGTGGCTTTCAAATACTGGAAGAATATTTTCTAATTTGTTTTTATTTTTTTTATTTTTTTTGTTGTTGTTGCTATTTGCAATGTAATGGCTATAGACAGGACACACTTTTAAGTTTAATCTTCTTTAGTAACCTTTCCTCCATTGCTTTCTTAAGTCTAGAGCAACCATCAACAAGACAATAAATCAAGTCCAGGTTTGTAGCATTTGCCAATTCCTGTGATATAAATACTCCCACTGTGGCTGACTTTTTATATTAAATTTATTCAGGTGACATTGGTTAATAACATTATATAAATTTCAGGTGTACAACATCTGTATACAATATTGTGTGCTCACATCCCAAAGTTTAGTTTCCTTCCATAATATATTTGACCCCCTTTGCCCTACCTGTCTTCCCCTTTGGTAACTTCCATTCTGATGTCTGTGTCTAAGTTTTTGTTTTATTTTGATAGTTTGTTACTTTTTGTTTTATATTTCACATATGAGTGAAGTCATATGGTTTTTATCCTTTTTCACCTGATTTATTAGCATCATAGCTTCAAGAACCATCCATGATGTCACAAATAGAACATTTTAAGACATGCAGAATTGGAAAGACTTTACACATCATTACAAAAGAGAGATACATAGACATAAATAACTTTTAGAGCATAAATAATGGTAAATTGTCAAAAAAATTAGAAAGTGATGAGTTTTGAGTATTTATTCTGTTTGTTTTGAATATGGTTTATTTTATTTTAACTTTTTATACTTTGCCTTTACATGAAAGCTGTGTTTAATAAACATTTGAAAAAAATGTTTTTTAAATATAGCAGTTGGCCCTCACAAGCTGGTATAGGCTAATGTGTTTCCCCTTCATAGGTAGGCTTGGGAAGCCGAAAATTACTCAGAGTTTAACGACATCTTCGAACAGTACTTGTAATGTCACACTGACATGCTCCATGGAGAAAGAAGAAAAAAATGTGACATACACTTGGAGTCCTATGGGGACAGAGGGTAGCGTTCTCCAAGTCTTCCAGACTCCTAACAACCAAGAGCTGACTTACACCTGTACAGCCTGGAACCCCGTCAGCAACAATTCTGACTCCATCTCTGCCCAGCAGCTCTGTGCAGGTAACAGCTCTGTCCATCTTTCCTGAAGTCCTACCCATCACTCTGGAGAGCTGTAAGGCCTGAGTGTGGGCCTCATTCTCCAGGGCAATGTGCCCCCCTTATGCTGGGCCTGGTCCCCAGGGGCCTCTCCTCCCAGGAAGCCCTAGAAACCGGTCCAAACCAGAGGGATGATCCCTGGTTCCGTTTCTAACCCTGGCTTTCGATAGCAGAAAGTGTAGTTTCCCTCAAAGCTCTGGTACTCCCCTGGAGGGTCCCCAGTTTGGACAATTCCCCTGGAATGTGGCCAAGCCTGCCCAGCATCTTGGGCCGATTTTCCGAGAGTTGTCTCACTGCCTCTTCCATTTCCAGATAGCCCCACGGGCCTCCATATTCACCGTGCTGGATTGCTGAGTGGGCTGGCTGTGCTCTTTCTGGTTATAGTTATCCTACCTTCAGTGCTTTTGTTCCTTTTTTGCAAGAAAGGACGAGGTAAGATTTCCCCAATGTGGGAATGCACCTTCCTTCTCCCTAGGACTGGAGTCATTTACCCAAGGGGTGTGGAGAGGTCTTTTGTCCCAGGGAATCAGCATTTCTACAATCCCCACCCCACCAACCACACAATCTCCCAGACTGATGGCCCTGCCTGTATGGTATCACTCTGAAGGCTCTTCAGAATCTGTTCATGGGATCACCAGTATCTAGTGGGCCCAGAGCTTGGGTTCAAGTTTAGCACCCCCATTAATAAGCTGTGCTCCATTAGGCATGTATCTTTACCTCTCTGGCTCAGAGTTCTCACATGTGATAGAAGGCTTGGGTGGTGGTTCTCAACCTGTGGGTCGCGACCCCTTTGGCAGTCGAATGACCCTTTCACAGGGGTCGCCTAAGACCATCCTGCATATCAGATATTTACATTACGATTTATAACAGTAGCAACATTACAGTTATGAAGTAGCCACGAAAATAATGTTATGGTTGGGTCACAACATGAGGAACTGTATTTAAAGGGCCAGAAGGTTGAGAACCACTGGATTAGAGGGTCTTCAGGGTCACTTTCAATTCCATCATATTTTTTACTCTGGAGAGTCACTGAGGAACATGTCCTAATTTGGTACTCCATGGTTGTCACTAGATTCTTCCAGATCCCTCTGGATTCTTCTGTATTTGTGCTATTTTCAACTCAGAAAAGCTGACCTTTGCACCTTAGGGGGAAATTACACCATCCTATTCGTCCTGACCCCATATCCACCCAAAACCTCCCCTTCGCTCAAATCAGAATAAGAAGCCTGGATGTAGGAGGTTCTCCCTCTGCTTCCTGGTTCTTGACTCTCCTTTGGTCTGATTCCTCAGGTTCCTCCTTCAAGATCTTCCATAAGAAACCTGGTAAGTTTTCAGCCACAAGTTTCTCTGGATGACGATTGGGAGAGACGAATTCATGGCAGAGTGGTTAAGGCTAAGCTTGTGCTTTGCAGACAGTCTGGGGTGCGCATGTCAAACTCGCAGCCCGCAGGCTGCATGCCTTGTTTAATTGGCCCGTGTTAGTCTTTGAGTTTGACATGCTTGGTCTGGGGTGAAGGTCCCAGCTTTTCCACTTATCAGCTACCAGTTATTTTATCATGGTGAGTCTCCATTTTCTCAATTATAAAATATGCATAGTCATGGGTTAAATGGAATTCCACATGTAAAACTCTTGTCTGGTGCCTGGCACATAGTAAGTAATCAGTCAGTGTTAGCTACCATACCTATCATTGATAGGCCCTGGCTTGGCCTCATGATGAGAAGTCACACAACCCGCTCAGGCCATAGGTGATCTTCAGGGTTCCTCAAAAAAAAGACATCTGTCTTCAATACCTTACAGCAAGCATGCCAAACTCGCAACCTGCAGGCCACATGTCTCGTTTATTTGGCCCATGTTAGCCTTTGAGTTTGAAATGCTTGCCTTACCGTCTCTTGGGAAGGAAAAAGGGCTGCTTTTTTTTTTTTTTATCTATAAGTGAGACAAGAGAACACTCAGTCTAGCTCACTCACCAAGTCTGAGGCTGGGGCTGGACAGGACTAAACTCTGAAATGTTGGATCCTTCTGAGATTGCTCATCTCAGACCTGTTAAGTGTGGCTATGTTGGTGCCCTTGAACATGAAGACTCTAAATTCTAGCTGTATCTTTTCAACTTGATCCTAAAATGTTCCATGTTAGGAGCAAAGAAAAGAGGTACATTGGGATGAATGCTTCTACCGGCCCATAAATTATTAAAAGTGGAAACGTGTCTCTCCTGTCTGCTTCTCTGTAGCTTCACACAGAGTCTGGCACATTGAGGGAGCTTAATCAATGTTTGACTGTGTGAGTCGATCAAGCAAGCCTCAAATGTTTGTAGAGTGTCTGCTATGTGCTTAACGGTGAGGCAATAACAGTAATGTATGTACCAGAAGATTCCAACACAGTATGTAACTAGAGAGACTCAGTCTAGTAGAAAAACCAAGACCTTCTCGTTAAAAAACAACTAGCCATGCAAGGCAGTCAATGCTAAGTGCCAGAGACACTCAGAAGAGCCTGGGTAGAAGAGCTGCTTTGACTGCCCACGCAGAGATTGAAGAGTCTCTTTAGCCTAATGTGGACTCTAGAAGAGAAAAGAACTCCCGCTGAGCTCTGGGTGAGGCTTGAGCCGGGTGCTTCCCGTAGCACATGGAATCCCTAGAAGAGGGAAAGACAGTCCAAACACCAAGCATCCATCTCCAGAGGATGGGAGCCATCTCTTAGGGCTTCATTTCTTCACCTTAAAAAGAAAATATTAGAATAGACCATCTCTAAAAAGTCATCCACCTTTTGATTTTGGTTTTGTGTGTGTGTGTGTTTGTTGTTGTTTCTTTAATCCTCACCCAAGGATATTCTTCCATTGATTTTTTTTTTTTTTTAGAGAGAGTGAAAGAAAGGAAAAGAGAGAGAAATATCAATGTGAGAGAAACACATTGATTGGTTGCCTCCTGCATGAGCCCCAACCAGGGTCTGGGCCGGGGAGGAGCCTGCAACTGAGGTACATGCCCTTGACCGGATTCCAACCCGGGACCCTTCAGTCTATAAGCCAATGCTCTATTCACTGAGTCAAATCAGCTAGGGCCGTGGTCGGCAAACTGCGGCTCGCGAGCCACATGCGGCTCTTTGGCCCCTTGAGTGTGGCTCTTCCTAAGCCTTAGGAGTACCCTAATTAAGTTAATAACAATGTACCTACCTATACAGTTTAAGTTTAAAAAATTTGGCTCTCAAAAGAAATTTCAATCGTTGTACTGTTGATATTTGGCTCTGTTGACTAATGAGTTTGCCGACCACTGGGCTAGGGCAAGTCATCCACCTTTTGCATATCGTGTTTCTATCTTTATTTGTGACACAGATGCTGCCTCAAAGAACACAATATACACATATGTCAATGCTCCAAGAGATCCTCAGCCAGCAGAGCTCAGAATCTACGATGAAATCTCCCAGCCCAAGGTGAGCTGATGCGACTCATGGATCTTCACCAGCTCTCCCAAGACAGGGAGTCACTGGGGGCAGGCCTCTCTTTACTACTGCCTCGCCAGAAGCCACAGGCAAGAATCTGGAAATACCATATCAGGGAAATACCGTGTCAGGGAAATACCATGTCAGGGAAATGACGCCAGGATTCTCTCTATGGGGACAGGAAGGTGGTCAATTGTCATCCCATGGCAGCCTCCAGGATGAGGCCCTAAACTTTCATGTGGGGGTCTGGATGAGATGAGAATTATAATTAAGAGTGAAGCACCCTCTACAGGGGACAAGCTATAAGAGAGCCCCTGGTGTGAGGTGAGGGCTGTTCCAGGTGAACAGGTTGCTTAAGGGGGCTCCAAGGTCACAGAGCTGAGAGAGGTGCCCTTGAACTCAATTAACTTGTCTGCCTGCAGCAGCAGCTTACTTTGCTCAGACTCAGAGTCACTCTGTCCCACACCCGCTAACTCCCACCTGCCTTTGACCTGCCTGCCCCTCCCTCACCTCCACCCTGAATCAGTATTTTACCTGGTATTGCCTTTCTCTGTGCCTCTGCCAAGCTGCTCCCCTGAAGGGGTAAACTGAGGCCTGCCTGATGAATCTAGCACTGTATTTGGACTGATAGGGCAGCGGGGTCCATAAAGCCCATGGAAAGCTAATACCCTGACTAAGCGAAACTCGGTCTCCACCATGCAAACCCCTCTTCTTGACTTTTTTTGCCCAAATGCTACCCACCCTCCCATCGCACCCTCATCTGACCCAGAACTTCTCCAAAGCTGGGTGGAAGCAGAGCTGAGGCCTGGAGAGAAGTCCACCTGGTGAAAATGCTACCAGGGAGGAGTGATGGGCAGGGGTAGAAGTAGGAAGGGGGACACATAACATTGTGCTTGGGTTCCATGACTAAGTGAATGACAGGTGTTTTACAGGTGCTTCCCACCAAGGAGAAGCCAGGAAACACAACGTATTCCACAGTGCAGTACTCTGATAATGCCAATCCTTTCTAACGTTTTATCCCTGTTGTCATATCTGTTCCAACAATTCTGCTATTACACCTGCTCATTCAACAAAGGGCCAGCTGTTTTCCTTGGGACTCCTCTCTAGACTTCTCAGGACTACTGGCTGAGGGCTTTGGTCTAAGGTACTTCCACACATGCACAGACCCCTACTCCCCAGGTCAATGGTTATTCACAGGCTGGCCTGTTTGGGGTGCTGATCCCTCCCTTTAAGTGCAGGACCCCCTGAACCCCTAATCATAGTGTGGAAACCTCAGCCTTTACAATACCCAGGGCCTCTGTTAGCTCACGGTGTGAAAATAAGAAAACAGGTGCCTCCCGGAGGCCCACACCAGGTACACAGACTGGCAAGCAGAACACAGGCTCATTTCGGCTCCCATTTGCCCCCTCAGCTGAGTGTTACAGTGTGCAACCCGCACAACCATTTGTCGTGGTCTAGTGATAGTCACAAGTCCCTGTGCTTCCGTGTCTTTCCCTGGAATGTGCAAAGGAACAGTAAACCCTGTCCTTTAACAGAACTTTCCATGTGGGGGATCTGTTGAGGGGCGGTCACCATCTGAGTGTCCTCATTTCTGCTACTGTCAGAAGGACAGCTTTGGGGTCCCTTGGGGAATCAAATGTTTAGAAAGTGTTCCTGTTTAATAGCTGAGCTAATACGCAGGAAGCTAATCATGAAAGATAAATTTGAACCCAGGAGTCTAGAAAAATGGGAAAATAATGATAATAAATGAATGGTGGGAGGATATATTGGGAACATGGAATGGAATGTAAGTGAATCCATAAGTAAAAAATCAAGAGCTGATTCTTTAAGGCATCTGTGAGCCGGACAGGTAGGAAAGTTGTAAAGGTAAGTCAAGCGCCCCGCAGAAGGAGACAGGGGGCCTTTTTCCCTCAGTGATGACCAAGGGGAAGGAAGGAGAAGGAAAAAAGAGGTGAGTGAGGCAAGAAGAGAAGGAAAAGAAAGGAGGAAGGAGAAGCAAGAAGTGAGGGTCGAGGTGCTCACATGTTTGAACCAGGATCTGAAGGAGAGTGGGAGGAAACAGAGGAGGAGCTTGCAGTGTGAAGAACTAGACTTGAGGAATGCATCAGGGAGTCCTGAATTGAGATATCTCAAAGTGAATCCTCTAGACAAGTTGAATGACGATTATTCATTGGTCAGTATGTGATTTAAGATCAAAGACTCCTCAAGCCAGTGGGCAGGTTGCCTGCAGTGTTCTAAACTGGAGCACGAGAGATGCTAGCAGAGGTGACTTGCCACGGTGAATAGGAGAAGGTACAGAAGGAACTGGGCCTCAACTAGGAACAAGGAAGACAAGTGGCTTGAGCCTGGCTGTTGCCTCAAGCCTGTGATCAAAACCATTCCCTCCTGCTTTTCTCTGGGTGAAACAGTTAATGACCCAAAGGCTTCCAAATGGGGCGGCTGGGGCAGAGGTGAAAGACTCAGCAAAGGGCAAGGCCCTGCTACCCCACATTTCCTCGGGGCAACTCCCCTGGGTTCCTCATGGGAACTGGAATTCCCCAGCAGCACCTTTATGTTAACATGTCCTCTCTCTCCCTCTCGGGCACAGGTGGACAAAACCATCAGCACTCAGGACAGCAAACCTTCTAGGACTCCAAGCTATGTATCTGTGATCTAGGCTGCCAGACAGCATTCTCTCCATGGAAACTAAACCATAACCACAGATAATGGCAGATACCTTGGACCTAGACTTTCTCTGCCCACCTCTTACCTGAAGACTGCAAATCGCCACATCCCAATATGAAAACCAGGAAGCCCTCTGCTGCTGGACATAGCTTGTGCTTAGATAGGCAGATGGACATGTGCCCTTTCTGAAATGGGTGAATTGCCTTCTGGATGAATAAGGCAAGTCCCTTGGCACAGTGCTCTCCAATCTTCTTTACATCGCAGCATATGTAGAAAATATTTTTATGGCACAATGAAGTAAACAATCAAGATTGCTCGCGCCTGGAGGCTGCCTGTGGCTAGAGGCCTCTTGTGATTGCAGGTGATGACCCTTCCCAGCAACTCCAAACATAGAGAGGACCCGTATTGTGCACATCTGTAATACGCCGTGGCCCACCACCCAGGATGCTCTGCTGACACTCAATATGTGGGAGAAGCCCTGGTTCATGGCTTGGGAAAATTAGGCAAAGGCCCCCTTTTTCCTTTAGGCAGATGCAGCCCCTCAGAGTGTGAGCTGCATGCATTTCAGCCTCCACTTGCCCCCTTGACCCAGGAACCTTTGTTCATGTACAACTGGCTGGACCAGTGCAACCGTACATGACGGTACAACGTGAGAAGTCGTCAGAGTTGTGGCTCTCAGCAGTACAGGCACGCTCCCCAAATATTGTGTTGGAAAATGCACTTTCTGAGGGGTTCTAGTGTGTGGGGCCATTTTTCTTCAGGCCCTACTTCAAAGGTTTCATGAGAGTTTCTTTCCAGCCAAGCTTTCCTTCTGTGACACTCTGTGATGGTTAACTTTATGTGTCAACTTGGCGGGGCCAGGGGTGCACAGATATTTGGTTAAACTTTACTCAGATGCATCTGTGAGGGTGTTTCTGGGTGAGATTAACATTTGATTTTGTAGACTAAGTAATTAATCCTGTTTTCCTGGGTGGGCATCACTAAATCCACTGAGAGCTTGAATAGAACAAAAAGGTGACGTAAGGGAGAATTCTCTGTGTGTGTGTGTATGTGTGTGTATGTGTGTGTGTATGTGTGTGTGTGTGTGTGTGTGTGTGTGTGTGTGTGTGTGTGTGTGTGTTCGAGCTGGGACATTGGTCTTCTTCTGCCTTTACACTTGCACTTGGACTGGTACTTACACCATTAGCTCTCCTGGCTCTCAGGCCTTCAGACTCACTCAGACTCAGACTAGAACGATATACCATCACCACTCCAGCTTGCCGACTCCAGATCTTGGGCTTTCTCAATCTCCATAACTACACGAGCCGATTCCTTACTATAACTAGTTCTCATGGTCTGCAGAACCAGGCAAACACATCATGCAAGCAGCCTCAACACCAAGAAGCCATGCCCAGTACCCCATTCTCCAAAAGAGAATGACAAGTTATATCTCTGACACTTTAGGAGAACTAAGTGCAACCCAACCATCAAAACAAGAGACTTGAAAGAAGCAAAGTCATTCTCGAGCAGGAACTTGAGAGATGATATTGCAGATTATGAAACTAGGCCCAACCCAGTGCCCAAGGCTTTACCCAGAGCGTCAGAGAGTTCGGCTCACGGTTAGGCGCTCCTCCCTCTCCCCTGCTACGTCTGAGCAGAACACTAGTGAGTATTTGAAAAACTGCTCCCCTTATAAGCTAACAAATATAACCAGCTAAATCCTAAATGCCCACAAACAACCCCAGACTGAACAGCAACACTAAACTGCATTTAGGCAGAACGAGGATGTTAGTCCTAGTGAATGGACCCATAAAACCCCCTGGCCCCCACTATCTTTAGCACTTTGTTGGGGCTGCAAGGCCCCCAAAGTATGAGATGAGTGTAATGTCTGCCCTGGGCTAACTGAGAAACCAATTCCAGCACAGACACTACAGCTAAAAGCTGAACTACATACGACCTGGAGTGGCACCGGCTAGCACAGTCAGAAAAGACCTGATGGGGGAGGCGGACCTGAAACCGGGCCTTGAAGGATGAATAGCATTTGGCAGAGGGTGAAGAAGACAGAGGGCATCCACATGAGGAAACCATAAACAAACAAACAAAACAGCCCTGGATCTGCATGATGTATTTTGGGCACCTCCCCAGACACACCATGCATGGTCACAGCCCCTTGCCTATGGGGTGTGGCACAGAGCCTCAGCGAGAATGTGTGCTCCACCCCTTCTCCCTCTACACATTGTGTAATACCCAGTCCTCTATGATTTCCTGATACGATTAGTGAACTTAATTATGGCTCTTTTTCTACCCTTTTCTTTCCCGCTGTTGGTCTTCAGTCATTACAACTCATTCCATTCTGCCTCACATATGGACGATTATTTGTCTCCCTCTACATTATACATCACTCAAGGACAAGATCCACGACTTCACAATCATGAGGAGGCGCACGTAAGAGATGATCGTTGTATTCACTTCTGCATCCACCACCAGGCAACACTGCCTTGTACCCTGCTCGCGAGCAATAAGTACTGTTGAAGAGAAGGTACTTATTGGACGTGTTGATAGATAACAGCCAATAAGCACCGTGGAATCTAATTATGACACATATTAAATATCAGGATGCAAATGGCAGAGGCTGTTCTGGAGGGAGAAGACTTTCAGAGTGAGGCCAACCAAGAGGGCAGCTGAAGCCATGAACCAGGTGTGAGCAGGTGAAAGGCAGTCACTCTAGGGAGGGACATGAAGGAGGGAATAATGAGATTTGGTGATAAAGGGTGGGAAAATTCCAACATGACACTGAACACCATGTTTCTCCTAAAATTAAAGTACTTCTCATCTTTACGTGAGTTGAGGGATCCCTCTTGAATATCCTCATTCTCTAAGCTGCCCCTGCTTCTCCCTGGCGTGCTCACTCATTCAAATTCTGAATGTCCTAATGCCCCAGTGAAAAGTGAAGAAAGAGCTAGGGAAGGAGAGAGAGAGAGAAAGAGAGGGAAGGGGGAGGGAACGAGGGAGGGAAAAAATCAGGCAAGCGTTTCTTAGGTCTTCCAGGAAAACAAACCTGAGGTGGAACCAGTGCACAGGAATTCTGAAAGTGGCCTACTCTTTCTGTTTGTGAATATTCTAATTTATTAGACTCTCCTGTAAAATGAGTGTGTAAATATATGCTAACAAAAGGAAACTTGACTTTGGGTGCTGAGTACAATACAATGTACAAATGATATATAATAGAATTTTACAATTGAAATCTGTATAATTTTATTAACCAGTAATATCCCAATAAATTTAATAAAATTAAAACAAATAAATAAGGAAATAAATAAAAGAGTGTGATTTTATTTACCCCTTCACAGCTTTCCAGATGAACTAAATTGTGACCGACAGGTCTATAAAATAAGAATATTCACCCTAACCGGTTTGGCTCAGTGGATAGAGCGTCGGCGTGTGGACTGAAGGGTCTCAGGTTCGATTCCGGTCAAGGGCATGTACCTTGGTTGCGGGCACATCCCCAGTGGGGGGTGTGCAAGAGGCAGCTGATCGATGTTTCTCTTTCATTGATGTTTCTAACTCTCTATCCCTCTTCCTTCCTCTCTGTAAAAAATCAATAAAATATATTTTAAAAAGAATATTCTTTCAGCCCTGACCAGTGTTGCTCAGTGGTTAGAGTGTAAGCCGGTGCACCAAAGGATTACAGGTTTTATTCCCTGTCAAGGGCATGTATCTGAGTTTTAGGTTTATCAGGTGTACCAGTTAATAATGTGAATTTTGTAATAAAAGAAACACGATAATTCCAAGAGAAACATCAAAAGTGCTTTATTCAAAGTAATGTCCATCACTAGCTACACATTTCCCTCATCTTTCAGGTAATTTGTGGATACTGTCCCAAAAGAACTTTTCTTGTTTTAAGGCAAACCATTCAGAGACCAAATTTTCCACTTCTTATGTTTTGAAGTGCTGCTCAGAAAGTGCATGTGCCATCCATCAGAACAAGTGGTAATTTGAAGGAGCAAGGTCTGGTGAATACAGCGGGTGGGTTAATACTTCCCAGGCAAGATCTTTTAATGTGTCTTTAATTGGTTTTGAAGTGTGTGATGGTGTGTCATCATGAAGCAAAATTACTTTGCCGTGTCTTCTGGCCCATTCTGGTCATTTCACAATCAAAGCGTGGATTAAATTGAGTATTTGTTGTCAGTAGTGATCAGTATTAACGGTTTCACCTGGTTTTAGAAGCTCATAATACACCACACCTTCCTGATCCCACCAAATGCAGAGCACTGTCTTCTTTCCGAAGCGATTTGGCCTTGCAGTCAATGTTGATGGTTGACCTGGATCAACCCATGATTCTGTGCATTTGGGATTCTCAAAATAAATCCACTTTTCATCGCCAGTCACAATTCAATGCAAAAAAGACTTTCTTTTGTGCCGTTGAAGCAACATTTTACTGATGACTTTTCGGTTTTCCATGTGTCTTTCGTTCAGTTGATGTGGCACCCATTTTCCTTCCTTTAAAGTCTTTCCCATTGCTTGTAAATGATTGTAAATGGTTTGCTGAGCAACGTTTAATCTTTCTGCAAATTGTTTTTGAGTTTGATACGCATCTTTTTCCAACAATGCTTGTAATTGTTGGTCTTCAAACTCTTTCAGTTGACCTGGACGTTCTTTGTCTTTCGCATCGAAATCATCACTTTCAAAGCGTTTAAACCAGCGTTCACAAGTATCTTGAGATGGAGCATGTTCACCATAAGCTTCCCGAAGCATCCGATAACTTTCAGCAGCACTTTTCTTCAAAATAAAGTAATGAATTAAAACTTCCCACAAATGCTCTTTTTTGGCACGAAATTTGACATTTTTAAGCATTAAAATATCTATGTTAACACCTTCAGAAAATTTGACATATGAAGTTTTGCAGCTTGCTGTCAATACAACAAAATAGCATACATATCAAATCTCATATATATCAACATATGTGAAACTCCACCTATTGAAAAAAATCTGCATTATTAACCGGTACACCTGGTAATGCCCAGCCCAAGTCAAGGAATGTGTGGGAGGCAACGAATTGATGTGTCTCTCTTACATCTATTCCCTCTTTCTCTCTCCCCTCCCTCTTCCTTCCACTCTCCAAAAATCAATGGAAAAAATATTCTCAGAGGATTAACAAAAAAAAATAAAAATGAGAAACCATTCTTTCTATAGAACAGGATCTTGTATCTGACCAAAGATGTGTCAATTTTACACTTGAGGTTGAAATCTCAGGGGCAGAGTCCTCTAGGGCAGCGGTTCTCAACCTGTGGGTCACGACCCCTTTGTCGGTCGAACGACCCTTTCACAGGGGTCG